TATCATATAGACAATTTGATGAATCGTGATGATAAATATTGAATGATAATTACATGATGGCACATTTAATTTAATCAATTTGATTGTTCTTGATGATGATTATATGATACGTAATTGATGTCACACATAGTCATGATGATTTTACTTGATGATGATTTCATGCTGTATGATTCTAACGAGCAAGGACACCCTTGCGCTATGAGATTCGCCCATTTGGTACGACGAACTCACGCGGCCTTAGTCTCTCAAGGGAGACTAGAAAGTAGGGGTGGTACTCGAAGCCCGAATACCATGTACGTACACTAAGCCCGGAACGGGTGATGCCGGACTAGTAAGTCCCGCACATCACACTATAAGAGACGCAATTACGCATGATCTCTTACGCATGCACATGATGTGATATGCTTCAATATGGATGATGAAATGAATAATATGATATGAACAATTTGTAAACAATAGGAATGGATAAATATACTTTATTTTATTTGGGTGAAATCTGATAAAAATATCATTTAATTAAGCTACGGTGCTCGGAACGGTCGACCGTTTGGCGCGACGGTCGACCTTGATCTTCATCAGGTCGGATTTGATGAATCACCGTGGCGGTCGACCGCGGTTGACCGGCGGTCGACTGTTGTTGACTGGATGGCGATGGTGGTTCTCGGCTGGGCAGGCGACGGTCGACCGTTAGCCACCGGCGGTCGACCGTTTTGCTGACGGTCGTGGTCCGTTTTGATGTTTAACGCGACGGTCGACCGTTTGCGTCGACCGTTTGGGTCTGCGAATCTTACTCTTGATATTTTGAGTGTCCAAAAATACTTCTTTAAGTCTTTTAAACACCTTTGATTAATATATACATATTTTTGGGTTGATCTCAAATGTTTATATATACTTATGTACATATATATTAACTTTATGGATTTGGTATATTTTGGTCTTAACACAAAGATGACTAATATATGTATTATATATATATATTGGGATGATTTCAACATATGGATTAACATATATGTTCATGTATGTATGTGATGAATGATTCGACAAGTCTAACGCAAAGGTACAGACCTGGAAATCATCGGCCGAAACCTTACGGATGAGCGGGAGTGGAAACAACATCGAAATTTGCCAACTTTGTCATTCTCGTCACAATTGGACACCCTGCGGTATTTTGGGCATATCTCCATCGTTTCTTCACGGAATCGCAAACCATTTGATTTTATGGATTTCTAAGATGTAAGGCTATAACTTTCGTATAGAAAGTATTTTGAGATAATGAATTTAAAATAGCGTAAATCGGACCTGAAGTCAAGGGATAGTTGCTGTCCAGGATTTTGTATATATCGATGAACAATGATTCCGATGATTAACTCCTTTATTTCAATATTCCAACGCTGAACCTTCTCTACGACACCTTCCGGATGTCCCTAATAATCGTTAGAGAGTTTATGGTAAGTATTTGGAATGAAACAACATGAATATGGTGAGGAAACATAGCCAATCCCGAGGAGCTCGCCACCACTGGCGCAGTCCCGGTATTTTGGCCATATCTCCTTCGTTACTAAACGAAATCGCGAGCCGTTTGTTGGGTTGGATTCCTATCGTTCGGGGCTACAACTTTGGTTCAGAAAGTATTCCGAGATAATGAATAGAAAATTTCAGTTTTTACCATGAAGTGGGCTGCTGTGTTTGAACTCAGGATTTTAGAACTTTGGATGTTTCTTGCTTCTTCTTCTTCTTCCTTAGCATACAACCATGAATGAGGGGCTGTGTTTTCTTCTTCTTTATTGGCTCAACAATGGATGTATTTGAGTTGGGTTTTCTTCCTCCTTAGACAGCCGACAGAGAGAGAATGTATTGAGAAGAGATTATGAGTGGTGTGAGATGGAGGCTTTGACAAAATGGGGAAAACTTTTGGAGTATTATAATGAAAGGGTTGGAATCATTTGTTAGTGGGTTTTCCTAGGGTGGCTCATAGCTTGAAATGGGAAATTGCTACGTGATTTGGAAGATATTTTAGGATTTAGTCTTGGACCTTTGTCCAAACTGAACAGTTTACTCCAAATGGTACGCGCTTTTTCGCCCAAACTGCTCCGAATTGAAAATGGATTGTGTTTTTGGAACGAGACTGTCAAAACTAGAATTTTGACAAAATCAAAATATTTTTCTGAGAACTTTTATTTTTCTCAGTGTTCAGGTCTGTCTTAGTCATAAATTAATATAATAATATTAATGATGTAAAAAAGATATGAATTTAATCCAAATGATGAATATGGTGTTGTCAAGTGTCAAAGATTAATACTTCTAATCTTATGAAGTCACTTTTGAATTGAGTTTAATTTATGGGTTAAAGTTACAAATTTTAATATTTAAAATTGTCATAATTTGAAATCTATAAATCAGATGGTTCATAAAATGTACCGTTGGATTCGTCTCTTCGAGACATATCCATAAAAATAAGTTCTTAACACAAAGTCATTATTTTGAAAATCCATTTATTTTTGGTCAAACATAAAAATATTCTTTATTGGACAAAAACTACTTTTGTTTTATAATAAATTTTAGGCCATATTTTGTGGCGTTACATTTCTTCCCCCCTTAAAGAAATTTCGTCCCCGAAATTTCCTTAGGTGAAGTCATTTAAAATGATGATGTATAAAATCATGAATATCCATTGTTTTTATAAAACACAAATTTTGAAAAGTTGTTTTCTCTTTGTTTTATTGAGTGTCATGAGTATGACATCTTCTCTTTTGAGAAAGGATTTGCGCGGATGATAGATATAACGTGTTTAGATTTCTTTCATGAAGACTTGCGTCGAATATACTCTTAGACTTGCTCTTGTCGTCTTGTAGGAGTTTTCAGGAGTCCTTGTATGGATTCTGTTTCTTGAATGTGGGGTAATTTACAAATTTCTTTTTTTTTTGAAATTCTTTTAGAATCATTCTCAGACGACTTTGTCTGGAATGTTGGTTTCACAAATTTACGCTTCGTTATGAGCAAGCTGGAACGCATTTTTTTTTTGAGTTGACGTTTTTACATAAGGGTGTTTTGGGGAATGACTATTACCATAGTCATCATTCTAAGTTTCTTAGATGAATACGTAATTATAGTTTCAGAACTTGAATTCTTCTTAGCGATCCTTAATGGAGTTGCGCTGACTAACATGATGTCAATAAGCTGATTAAAGCTTGTTTGTAACAGTTAACACATATACCACACTTATATATAACAATAATATACATATATATATATATTTATCACATTGTAATGATTGGATGAATGTTTTGATAACACTTGATATTTTGTCACTGTTTGCCTTATCAAGAAAATATGTAGTCATTCTTGAATACTAATTTTCTGATTGATGATTCCAGAACTACCTTGGAATTTTATATTTGCTCAACAAATATGATAGAGCTTCGTGCTCGAAAATTATAATATTAGTGTATTCGTCATATCACTAATATTCTTACTTCACATAAGAGTTGTTTCCCTATTATCAAAAACATGATAAGTTATACACATAGTCGTATTCTAATACATGCGTGGTTTTTGAAGATCGGTATCATAAAATATCTTTTTGGTTTGATGGAGAATCATGAGTTAGAACAAGTTCTCAATGATTTGATATAAAAGAAAATATGGAATTCAATCTTTTCAAAATTGATCAAGTGAGATGCTTTAAGTGTGTAATTAACACAGCAAGTTTGAATATTTTAATGATATAAGTCACAAGATACGAATATAGCGTTTGCGATTATCATGGTAAATCGTAGGTTTTCATCCTCTAATGTTTCACTCTTTGGAAATTACTCAAGGGGTCATTGTCATAGGTAAATAGTCATTTTGACTTTTCATCTCGGATTTGAATGTATTTCAGGATAATGAGCCTAACTATTCATGAGTCTCAATATGTCATGTCGTCAGCAGACTGTAGTATTGGCGAGTACATTCTTATCTGGAGAGAATCCACTTTCCTGTACGTTTTTAGGCTGGTGATAATTACTTTTCCATCAATGGTCCAGTTTCAGAGTCTATATATATCGAATTGTGGCAAGAGCGTCTCACATTCTCACATTATGGAAGGAACTTCTCGAGCTCTTCCTAATACCATAAGATTCGTTGGTCTACATGGTAGTCATGCTCTTGGTAGCAATCCAAGGTTTATGGCTACAGCGGTTGATCTAGGACGTGAATTGGTAAGGCGAAAAATCAGGCTTACCTATGGAGGAGGCAATGTTGGCCTTCAAGGAGCTGTAGCTTCAACAATCTATAATAATGGTGGTAGAGTCAGAGGTTTCATACCAGGGTATATAGCAACACGAGGGGTCTATGGACCAACATATGGTGCGGAGTACACCGTCTCCAGCAATTACTATAAGTATTTCGAGATGAATCATATTGTGGAAGCCTTCATTGTACTTCCTGGAGGAATTGACACTATGGAGGGTTTATTCACTTTGATCTCATGGGCATCCGAAGGGTTACACAATAAACCTATTGGTCTTTTGAACATCAACGGTTATTTCAATAACCTAATCAAGTTTCTAGATGATGCGGTGAGGCAGAACTTCATGGCTTTGAATCAGAGGAAACTGTTCATTTCTTCTTTCTTTGTTGATGAGCTTTTGGACAAGCTAGAGTTTGTTAAGGCTTTCCCAGGTCCTGGTGCTAGTTATGACGAGTTTGTAAATCTTAGAATATTAGACTTAGAGTTGCATCTGTAATATTTCCAAGTTGAAATAATATTGTCCATGTACATTATGTGTTAGTCATAAATATCGTTCTAAGCTGGATGACCAGTGCATTTCAGAAGAGTATTTATTTCCAACATCAATACATACCATGTAAATATTAATCCTTTTCTTTATCTTCTAGTCTTTCACTGTTGGTGTGACTGTTTCACATCTTGTTTTGTATTGTCATCTTGTTGCGACATTTCGCGTCAGTAGGGTATACGAACGAGTCAATTATCCTATCTTAATGTTTGTATGTAGATTCACCACTATAATGTGTTTCAGATTCGATACATATACCGTATTCGATCTGGTTTGTGAGGCTCTATTCTTGTTCTTAGAAAACGATAGGTTCACTCTTGGGGAATTTATTCACTTCCTATCGGAGAAAACTCTTTCTTCAATGTATTCTTCGGCTTGACAGAAGTTGATTCACATCGTTCACTTAGTTATTCGCGTACTACGACATACGTATATGTCGTGTCTATCGGGTTTACAATCCCTCTTCTTGATCTTTTGATGTCGACTGTGATCGTCGAAAACATTATAAGGCAATCTAAATTTTATTGCTATCGGGCCTATGAGGATACTAGCAACTCAAAGGAAGAAAATTTTCAATGAGTTCAGCATGTGTGTTATGCCATAGTAACTTACTTGTTGATTACCTTCCCGAGGCATAGATGTCGTGAAGGATGTGGATGCAGGACTTTGAAAATATTGACTCAATAATCCAAAAATCGTTTTGCTCTGATACCAAAATGTAACACCCCAATCCGTATAACCCGGAATTATACAAATTAAGGTGAAACGAGAGATAAATAAAAATTTCACTTGACATTTGGAAATAACAATTTCTGATAAATATTAAATTTACAGACTCTGGATCGCGACCCATTTGAAAATATTTTCAGAGTAATGCGGAAGTACAATAATAATAATCAAATCATGACACATTTAAAAATCTGTTGATCAAACATTTGTCTGCCATCCTTGCATCTCCTCTGACTCAATGCCCTCCAGGAATGGTTCCATCATTGTCCTCTTGTTACCTACGTGTAGTCAACGAAAAATACAAACTACACGCTCAGCGAAACCGCTGAGTGGTACCACGCTAGAATTGTAGAATGATTCACAGACACACACACACACACACACACACACACACATATATATATATGATATTCATAATATGGCACATTATATCATATAGACAATTTGATGAATCGTGATGATAAATATTGAATGATAATTACATGATGGCACATTTAATTTAATCAATTTGATTGTTCTTGATGATGATTATATGATACGTAATTGATGTCACACATAGTCATGATGATTTTACTTGATGATGATTTCATGCTGTATGATTCTAACGAGCAAGGACACCCTTGCGCTATGAGATTCGNCACGCGGCCTTAGTCTCTCAAGGGAGACTAGAAAGTAGGGGTGGTACTCGAAGCCCGAATACCATGTACGTACACTAAGCCCGGAACGGGTGATGCCGGACTAGTAAGTCCCGCACATCACACTATAAGAGACGCAATTACGCATGATCTCTTACGCATGCACATGATGTGATATGCTTCAATATGGATGATGAAATGAATAATATGATATGAACAATTTGTAAACAATATGAATGGATAAATATACTTTATTTTATTTGGGTGAAATCTGATAAAAATATCATTTAATTAAGCTACGGTGCTCGGAACGGTCGACCGTTTGGCGCGACGGTCGACCTTGATCTTCATCAGGTCGGATTTGACGGATCACCGTGGCGGTCGGATTTGATCTTCATCCTGGTCCTTGCTCGGAACCTAAACCACCTAGGTCGGCGTTCGGCATTTGGCGTTTGGCGTTCGGCGTTCGGTTTTTGGCGCCCGAACCAACTCCGTGGTTTTCAACATTTTAAACCTTGTTTTTACCTCTGAGCATTTTTAAAAGGTTCCTAAATAATTATTTTATAAAAACTACTTTTGTATCTTGGTCAAACGGTCTAACACGTGAAAAACGGTCAAAACCGTACGCACGTGATTTACGACCTTGAGGACTTGGTTTTTACCAAACAAGTCTTGTTTTCACTATTTTATACCATATACAATGTTTTTCAAACTTGGTTTTTACTTTTGGGAACACTTCATTTTTGGACCTCGGTTTTTCAAAATGGGTTTTCGCTGGCTAAGCTTTGGCTGAGTGAAAATCGATTATCACCTTAGTGACAATCGATTTTCAAGCTCTGCAACTTTGAACTTCAAAGTTCTGAAGCAAGCAATAGTCGATTATCACATTTGCAATAATCGGTTATCACTCAGTGCAGCCAAAACCCAGAAACTTCTGAGAGGACCAATAATCGATTATCACTAGTTGACAATCGATTATCTGGGTTACCGTTGTCCTCCGACGGATAGATTTTTAAACTTTTGGACAGGGAATCTTTTAATAATCGATTATCATGTCTAGAAAATCGAGTATCACCCTGCAACTCTGAAAAATTTATCTTCATCCTGTTGGAAAATCTAGCAACGGTTTTATCCCATTTTGGGCTATAAAATGGCACCAAAATCCTCTCATTTAACAAACAACTCTTCAACATTCAATACTCTTTCATTGCATAAGCATTCCCAATTTTCTTAGCTATTTGAGAGCCAATTTTTGAAGAAATTGTCGTGTTCTTGAGCGTTTACTAGTTCACTCATATCTACTCTTTGTGAGACTTTTATTCCTAAGTGCTTAAGTGTTTTTATTCACTTTAAGGGAGGTTGTTCCCTTGTTGTAAACTCGAAGGAAGTTCTTTGTTCCTTCGTGAGAAGTCTTGGAGTGCGGTATCTCCGAGCAAAGGTGTTGAGGCTCGTGTGACTCGGGTTCTCAAATTGTATCGGTTTGTTAAGAACCCTTAAGCTTAACGAAGTTAGTGTAGCTCGAGAGAGTCTCTCGGGAGGCTGGATTAGCCACACGTTGTGGTGAACCAGGATAAAATTCGGTGTGCTCCTTCCTTGCGCTCTTTACTTTATCGCTCTCGTTTTTAATTTCCTGCGATTTTGTTTTAAACGCTATTCACCCCCCTCTAGCGTTGGGCCTTTACTCTAACAGGAAAGTTATAGTCAAATGAGCTCGGACGAACTCTTGAAGAGCGACACTGAAGTCTCAGGGGAAGACCATGCCGTAATCATCAAGTCACCAACAGAAAGTCAACCCATTGAAGACTTAGAATGTCATGAATTGGCGATTGAGGCCAGTGATGTTGATACACCGAGGAGACTCCCACCACCACCCATCCAAGACAAAGTCCTCCTTTTTTTCCTGTTGCCAACAAGCCACAGAAATGAGTTAAAGATCCTGGACTTTGACTGGAAAAGATTAGAACAAAGGTGACATCAGAAGAGAGTCAAAAAGGTCAAACTTTATGACTCTCGGATCGGTAAGTCCCGTAAAAAATGGGCTAACGTCAAGCTAGTGACGTTAAAAAAGCGCTTCTTGGGAGGCAACCCCAAGTGAATAAATTTTATTTTCTTTTTCTTTTTCCTTTTTACGTGTTTTGTGTGTTTATGTGTGCAGGTGTAACATCCTTAAATAGGGCCTAGAAAGATTAGTTAAAAATAAAAAGAAAAATTGAATTTAAAGAAATCAATTTGATGATCTAAAAAAATAAAATATAATTGGAATCAATGTTAAAAAGTTTTTATTATAGAAATGATTTAGGAATATTATTTGAAATTGGATCCAACTTAATTTAATATTGGACTATACAATAGAATTGGGCCAAAGCTGTAATAAAAGGAATAACTATATAACAAATCATAAATCGGCGATGAAATTCGTTGTGGCAGAGCGGAAATGAAATGGAGGGGTAAACCCCTATCACCCGAGTTCGAGTCCCCTTGCACCTTGCCTGCGATTTTTTTTTCCCCTTCTCTTCCCAGCTTGACATGCATCAGCAAATATCACCATTTCGGATTTTAGCTCTTATTATTCAAAAAATAATCTAAACTCTTCCTTAATCAATTTTTTTTCTTCAAACTTCTTAGGATATATTCCTAAGCTATTTTGGAGTCTCTTTAGTTACTTAAACACATTAAATCACTCCATATCAACCCAAACATCATCAAATATTCTAAAATATTTTTAATGGATATTGATGACGTATTGAAGAGTTTTACACTTCTCTTGATTTTTTTTTGATATTTTCCTGATTTTATGATGTTAGAATCCTCCAAAATATTCTAAATTATCATGATCAAGTTGAGGTAATCTTTATTGGTTGTTTCTACAAGTTTTTACCTATAAATAGCCCCATAAGTTTATTCATTTTCTTCACAAACTTCTTTAAAAAATGCAGCAACTTTTCTCTTCTTTATACTCTATATATCCATAAAAATATTAAGTTATTTTACTCCCAATACATTACCAAACTTTTCCCAAAAGATTTGAAGATGTTAGAGCCAACACGAGTTGGTTTAGAGCCCGTTTAAGGTAAGAAAATTCTCACGAAAATTCTGCATTTTTTTAGTGTTCTTCAAGCTATTGAGACACTTTTTGCAATGTTTTTTTGTTCTTCGGTAAAGCTAGATAACACCTCTAGAGTCTCGGTTCCTTACTAGTCTTCAACAACTTCGTTTCACTTTCTCTCTTGAACTCGAGGTATGTACAAAATCGTATTGCACGGACTTCCCGTTCAAACTACTATATTTGTAAAAATCCTTTAAAAAAGCACTCTTTGTAGGATGCAAAGTTATTTTAAAAAAATATACAAAGTAGTATTTTATTCTCAAATTAATGTTTTTAACACTTTAATTTTAAAAGTAAATTATTATAAAATATTGATTTATAAAAATGATTTAATATGTATGGTATAATATTTATACTTTTATATTATCATAAGTTTGAACAACTTGAGATCATCGTAAACTTGTATTTCGGAGTAACGGTAGGAGACCCCTATCACCGCTCATCGTATACGTATACAGAACCATCGGCCAAGGTTGCGAGAATGATGCCCAAAAGGCAATATTTCTCAGGGCTACATTCGGAGACCCCGGGTGTATGTCGTTAAATTGAATATTTCGTATCTCAGTAATCTGGATAAAATCTTTTATAAAGTTTTTATCTAACTTATAACTATGTGGTTACATATATGGAAATTCATTCTGTAAAAGTAAGATATTGTTTTTCGTAAAAATTATATTTTTACGAGACTCCGTCCTATATTGTTTTGTACCACTCAGCAAATATGCTGAGCGTACAGTATTTTTGGTTTTTTACTGTGCGTAGGTGATGTAGCTTGAACAAGTGGAAGTGCACGACATGGCAATTAAATCCGTGTTAATAAATACGGTTATGTGTTTATTTTATTTGCTTGAATAAAAAGTTTGTATTTTATTAATGACGTTATGTTCACAAACATATTGTGTATTAAACTCGTTTCCGCTGTACGTTTTTAATAAATATTTATATGATGTTTTTATACGAAATTAGTATATTTCCTCTTAACTCTCTAATTTGGAATAGTCTACGAGATTGTTCAAGTTAGGGTGTTACATTTTGATATCAGAGCAAAAGTTTTTAAAATGATTTTCTGACCTGATATTTTAATAAATATAACTATGTTTAAAAGAAATCATATTTACTTTTTTTTTATATGTGTATATATTAGCACTCTAAAAAAATCTACTTTAGTGACAAACAATTTTGAATGGTATATTTACATACACATAAGTATGCATGTTTTCAACAACAAAAAAAGTTGGAGCAGATTTTAGAGTAAAATCATTTCAATGATTCGTATAAAAAATCAAATGTATTTTATTCTTTTATTTAATTTAAAAAAATAGCATTTTTAAGGCCTTGTTTTTCTGGAATATTGCTTCTTTAAAAAAAATTGTTTAACACCTTATTGATGGATGGCTTTTTAAAACATTGTGTTCAAAAGTTTTACAAAAGTCTTTTAACTTGCTTTTTTGATACATAGGAGTATAAAAAAATTAAACTTGCCAAAGTTTTATTTGTTTTATATACGTATGCATATTAGTGTTTTTACTTCAAAAAAAAAGTACAAATATGTATTTTTCTTTTTACTTGCAGTAAAAAAAATTTACAAATTATTTTTTTTCTTTTCCGTAACAACTTGATTCTTTAAAAAAAAAAGTAGAGTAAATTTTATTTCTACTTATTATTTTAAAGAAAATGGATGACAAATATGTTTTCTTTTTTGTTTTGACTTACAAAAAGTTAAAAAAAAAGAGAGTGACATTTGTTTTTGCCATAATATTTTTTAAAAAAAAATTGATTATTTATTTAATTGTTTTACCATATGCTATAAAACAATTTACTTAAAAATTTGGTGATCAAAAGTTTACAAACATTTTTGTACATTTTTTTTAAAAAATATAGTAAAACAAAAGAAAGCCGTGTTCCGCTCCACGACGTCCGCTCACATCGATCAAGAAAATTTTTGAGGTAAGAAAATAGTTAGTAATTTCATAACTCCTGATTTATCCTAGAATGGAAGCTTTGAACAACCAACCTCATGTGTCCGGAGATTCCTAGGCATCAAACATTGGAAACTTTGTTGGCGGAAACCCAGGAAATAATAATAACAATCTCAACGCTAACAATGAGAATATCGTTGGAAATAACGTAATCAATCAAGTGGCGGGATTTCTCCACCAACTTGCTACACAAGTCCGTCCAGAAGGTTGGAATTTAGATTGTCTCAAGAAGAATGGTGCTTGGGTATACAAGGGAGGAGAATCGGGACCTCCAGAAGTCGCAGAGCACTGGATCGAACAGACAAAACGTGTTTTGAAGATAACCTCATTCAAGAAGGAGAATGGGCCCGACTAGCCATATCTCTACTGCAAAATGAAGCATATGATTGGTGGAAAGTCGAAAAGACCAAAGAAGCACTACTAAAAAACTGGGATACAAGGATATGATTTAATGACACCTAATTTGTAAAATGTCCTTAAAAGTTATTAATGACACTTCTAGATGTCTAATTTAATTAGCCCGTTGTTGGGCTTTTGAGCAGTTGCGTAGTAGCCCATCCTTATCAGACCCGTACCGGTTTCATTTTCTTCTTTCTTCATCGAGAGAGAGTCTGAGATCCGAGATGCGAGAGAGCCTTTGATTATAGATGCAAGAGAAGATATGTGATCTAAGATGCGAGAGAGAGAGTCTATGATCTGAGATGCGAGAGAGAGTCTGACAAAGCTTGCCCTCTTTATTGAGCACAACCTCAAGCTAAGCCCGAGGAAACGACGGATCTAGAAGATGTAATGTCGCAAGAAGAACAGAGTCGTTGGGTTGAATTTTTTTAGCTACAAAGTCGAAATAGAATAGAGTACCACGGATTCAAGGGTAAACCTCTCAATCTAGGTCAAATAATCCATTTTACAACCTTTTCTTGTTGAATTTATGAATTGGATTGTGTAATTTCTGACAATTTGTTTGAATTGATTTATATGTTCCTGTAACAATTGAATTTATAGTTTGATTTTTATATATTTGGTTTAACTGATTTATATGTTCCTGTAACAATTGAATTTATGAATTGGGCTGTTAAGGATTTTAAATGTTGCTGTTTCGAATCTTATATGTGTTGTGTGTGTTTGTTGTGTTGTTATTGAATTGAAGCACTTTTATTTTTTTATTTGAGGTCAATGAATAAATGAGATCAGATTTTATTGTGTGGCATGCTTGTTTAGATTCTCTTTAGTGTTTTGTGCTATAGGTTTTTCTTTGGCTAGTTTACTTTATTATTTATGTTTGTGCTAGGATATTTTATACGAATTGATTTCTATTATTCTACATTCTTCTCTTTGATGTAAATGATTTTTTAGATTCCATGTATTATTTGGTGTTGTAGTGCTTGTTGCTGTAATAAAAGTTGGTTGCTCCACCTTAGAGGAAATTATGGAAATATTGTGTGTGGTTTGGAGGGTGTATTTTGGCCTATCTTAGTACATTCAAGCAAGTATCCACCCACTCTACACATTTTTTATCATGCATTATGGTTGTGCTCACTATTCTAACACTTTTTAGATCACTGGTTGTGCTTTGTCAAGGTACTTTACAATTCTCTGATGGGCTTAGTTTTTCGTATCCTGAATTGGTTCTAGGTGTGGATAACAACGGTGGAGTATGATGAATTTGCCTTCAATCGTTCACAAAATTCTTCTAAACAACACGGTTTGCTCTTTTCCCTGTCTCTTTACATCCCAAGAGTATTTGATCATAATTTTCTTCATATATACATGTATGAGAGTTGAATGTTAATCCTTTTAAATAAAAGTTTTGATATGCTGTGTGGAAAACAAAAAAAAATCATGAAGGGAGGTCTACGGATACAGAGGACGTGGTAAGATAGTATCTTGCTCTTGATTTAGGCAAGTTTTGCTACACTGCTCAACTCTACAACCACGAGGTAGTACATCATTTTCGAGGGTGATTGCTATGGGTCACTAAAATCGAATATGGTTGAGCTTCTTATTTAATTGATTGCTAGAGTAAATTGCCAATACCTTTCATGCAAACAAGGGGAAATTCTCATCTATTGTCATGTTTTCCAGGTTTGACGTATACATGAATATTATCTGGATCCACTATTGTAACTATGGACCAAAAATGAGGTTAGGGGTATTATTCGGCATCTAGATATGGTAAAAAATATGTATAACTTTTATCCATGTTTCAGATAGCATTTCTCCTTATTTACAAATCAGAATTGAACATTTTAAAAGTGTTGTCCATGGAGAATAATTATTTGAATCCCTCCCTTACTCTACACTTTTTTCATTTTGACGAGGACATAATGATACATGATACATGAAGAGATGGGTACTCTTGTAAAGACTGACTTAAGGATATTGTGTTTAGGGCATCTCGTGTATTCTATGGCTTGCTTCCACCATGTTAAGCCAGGTGGTAAGTGCAAAAATTCAAACATACCTTATCAGAATGCAAGTTTAAGATCATCTACTCTGTCTCTTAAGGTAGGTAACTCATGCTTTCACATTTTTTGTTCAAATTTATTATTAATAGTGGTGAAACAATTCTTGATGGGTTAATAAGATGTAGGATTGATGATCCATGGGGCAGTAGTACTCTAGTTCTACTTGGGAGGCAGCAAGCTTTTATCTAGGTGAAGTTGGGGCAACAAATGCTCATTTGGGAAAAGCTAGAACAAGTTTTGATCTCGGAGAAGCTGGAACAAGTGTTGATTTGGGAGAAGCTGCTGCATGGATTGCCCTCAAGTGCTTATCTCTTATCTTTTTAGCCTAGTTGGCCTGTGTATATTCAGAATTATCTTTTTCTAAGACATAATTCTTATAAACTTTTGTAGTTTTTTCCTTGAGGGGCTTTGGTTTGGTCCTCCCTTCTTGTACCTTAATTTCTTCTTTTAATAAATAATATTTTCCAAATATAGAATTGAAAATATTAATGTCATTTTATTGATTTATGAACTATTTTTTATAGCTCTTTGAACACACAAAGAATGTCCTTGTATGAATCTAAGGGCATCTTTTAGATTGTTTTGAGACACGTATATAGTGTCCTAATATGGAATAGAAGACAACTTCTAAATAATGTGAGGACATATTTTAGGTGTCCTCTAATGGATTTAAGGATACATTTTGAAGAGATTTTGGTGTGTCCTCGTATAGAAAAGAAGACACTTTTTATGTGTCCTTATTTTGGATATACCATGACTCCTTGATAGAGGACACTTTTGTTGAGTGTCCTTGTATATAATAGATGACTCTTTTTAAGTGTCTTCAAATCACATTTTTCTTGTAGTGAAGGACTACCTGAACCCCTAACTTGGGTAGCATTTGAGAAAGCTTTTTCTAATCATTATTTCATACCTCCTTACTATCGTGACGCAAAAAGAAAAGAGTTTCAAAATCTGAAACGAAAAGGGATGTCCGTAGAAGCTTACAAAACAAAATTTGTTAAGCTATCTAATTATGCTAAGGATTTAATCACTGATGAGGAGAAACTATGTGAGTTCTTCATCGACGAGCTAGATGAAGAATTCCAAAGGAGTCTCAACGGGACTGTACATCGGAACTTCAATGAGCTCATCAAAGCAACCATGCGTATTGATGCGATCGGAAAGAAAACCTTTGATCAAGGGGAAGCATCACCAAAGAAGAACAACTCCAATACAAAGAATGTTGGTTGGGGAAAAAGAAGATAGAAACTAAGATTGAGAGGCCTGAATGCCCTACATGTAATCGTTGCCACAATGGGAAATGTTGGTTTCTAACTGGAGCATGTATGCGCTGTGGTCAGAAAGGTCACATCTCATAGAACTGTCCTAAACGTACCGACAAGGCGGAAGCACCGATTCAGAATAACAACAACAACCGCCCACCTCCAAGACAAGCTCCACCAGTGCAAGGAAACAATGGCAACAACAACAATCGAGTTCCGGCAAGAACATATGCAATGCAAGGGAGGGAAGATCAATAGAACCGTAATGTTATTATCGGTATGTTCACTATATTCGATAATGACCTATGCGCTTTAGTTGATCCTGGATCTACACATTCTTATATTTGTGTGAATCAACCTTTTACGAAGATGTTGAACAAAAGTCAACTACATAATCCAATACTAGTGTCAAACCCCTTAGGACACAGTACAACCCTAAGAGAGGTATATCACAATTGCCCACTAGCAGTAAAAGGGAAAACCTTTCACGCGGACTTAATTGAACTTCCATACAAAGAATTTGATTTGATTCTTGGGATGGATTGTCTCTCCAATCACAAAGCTATTGTGGATTGTCATAATAAAGTATTGACTCTCCAAACTGAGGATGGCTTGATTGTAACCATCAAGGGAGAACTCATCCCGCAAGCACCTCAGTTCATATCCTTAATGCAAGCCAAACGCTTAATACGAAAGAAATGTGAAGCATACTTATGCCATGTCAAAGATATGCGGGCGTTAGATCCACAAATACAGAAGATTTCAATTGTCAATGAATTTCCTGACGTCTTTCCCGATGAACTTCCAGGTTTACCTCCACCTCGTGAAGTTGAATTTTCCATCGACCTCGCACCTGGAACCATGCCGGTATCAATCACCCCTTACCGTATGGCTATAGCAGAAATGGAGTTAAAGGCTCATCTTCAAGAACTATTGGACAAGGGATTCATTAGGCCAAGTGTATCACCCTGGGGAGCACCTGTCTTATTTGATAAAAAGAAAGATGGCTCATTGCGATTATGTGTGGATTATTCACAACTCAACAAGTTAACTATTAAGAATTGGTATCCATTACCACGAATTGATGACTTGTTTGATCAGCTACGTGGAGCAAGTGTCTTCTCAAAGATTGATTTAAGGTCTGGATATCATCAACTTCCAGTTAAAGCTGATGACATTCCAAAAACCGCCTTCAGGACTCGTTATGGACACTAGTATCACACCCGTGCGTTGCACGGGTCATAGTTACGATACTAAATTAAGATCATTTTTAGGAATATAAGGTATATAATGGAATATAGAAATTTCATTATTTTAAAGTACAAAAGTAAAATGATTTACAAATTTCGAAAGACTTATTTATAAACTACATCACTCGTATAATTCGTGTGAGCATTCACTTCGTTGTATATCAGAATCTTCAAGTCATTGTGATTTATTACTCTTGAAACTGAAAGAAACACTTGCCCATGACTAAATACCGGTTTCCGTAATAACAATAATTCAACATGTGTCAGATATTGTCCCTGACAATAATTCAATAATTTGACTTATTTAAATAATAATTCAACATATTAATGTATCTATTTTGGAATTTGTATTTTTTACGTATTTAAATGATACCATTTACTTACCCTATGGTATTTATTTTCTATTTTATTTTAGATCACTTACCATTTTTACACTTATCCATGCTTGTACATTATAGAATTAATAGTATTAATTTTAGAATACTTACCATTGTTACATGTTTCCGTGCTTATAGTATTAATACTATTAATTTATAATTGTTTTAATTTTGAATTTAAATGGTACCATTTACTTAATGTACCATATTTATCTTTAAATTTATTTTATAACACTTACCATTTTAACATGTTTCCATGCTTGTAAATTGTAGTATTAATTGATAGTAAAAATTTACAGTTTTCTATTTTATTTTTGTATTTAAATGGTATCATTTACTTACCGTACCGTATTTATTCTCTATTATATTTTAGAACACTTACCGTTTTGATATTTATTTTATTTTCTAATTTATTTAGAACACTTACCTAATTTATTTTAGAACACTTACCATTTATTTTATTTTTGTGTTTAAATGGTACCATTTGCTTATCGTGGTGACGTACTGTACTGTATTTATTTTCTAATTTTCTAATTAGAACACTTACCTTTTCCAAAACATTTTCATGTTTATAAAGTATAGTATTAATATTAATTTTGCAGTTTTTTTTATTTATTTTCGTATTTAAATCGTACTAATTACTTACCAAACCACATTATTTTCTAATTTATTTTAGAACACTTATCATTTTTAGATATATTTTATGTTCTCCTTTTTTTTTAGAACACTTACCTAATTTATTTTATAACACTTACCATTTATTTTATTTTCGTTTTTAAATGGTGCCAATTGCTTACCGTACCATACCTATTTATTTTCTAATTTTCTAATTAGAACACTTGTCATTTTAAAATGTTTCCATGCTTGTAAATTATAGTATTAATATTAATTTGTAGTTTTTTATTTTATTCTTGTATTTAAATGTTATCATTTACTTACCGTACCATATATATTTTCTAATCTATTTTAGAAAACTTACCATTTTTACACGTCCGTGCTTGTAAATTGTAATAAATAATTAATTTGTAGTTTTTTGAAATAAATCATTTTAATCCCGCTCATACTTTATTAATTAAAAGTTTTTTAATTTTATTTTAATATTTAAATGGTAGTGTATTTTATTTCCATACTTTAATTCCCCAATGGTTCACTACTATTTAAATTAATTTAATTTAAATATTTAAACGGTGTAACATTTAAATAAAAATTAAATACAATTATTACCATTCGTATAAACTGGTTAAAAAAGGATTGATTTATTAATGGTATGGATTTTTCGTTTATATTTTAATTTCTAATTTTGTTTATGCAAGTTATGGTATGAAGAATCTGCCCAAATTTGTTTCGCTGCATTAATGTTCAACATCTCTACCATTAATAATTTTTTATTACCGCTTTAGTATACGTGTTAAACATGTACATTATTCTATACGGTAACTCCATTAATGACCCGTGTAACTCCATTTTAGTTGAGTAATTACCATATGGAGTGAACAATTACCATTTTTGGTGGAACACCAAATGGGAGGGAAAACGAAATTGAGAATCCATGGCTTTTTAAATAAAGTATGGATAAAATTACAAAGTTTTATTACCTATTACCTATTACCTAATATATTTTATTTTAAAATTTTAAAACACAGTGTATTAATACTGTGTATTAATACCATGTATTAGTACCGCGTATTAAATAAGTATAATAATGGAAAGTTTAGAATATAATTTCGTGTATTTTTTACTATTTAAAAATGTAAACACGGTTCTTTCCTTATTAACATTCCTTATTAATATCGTTTATATTATTCAATAGTACCTATTACAATACCGTGTTTTATTACCTTTTTAATAATAATAAAATTACGAAGTTTTATTACATATTACCTAATTACCTAATATATTTTAAAATTTTAAAATACCGTGTAATAAAACTGTGTATAAAGACCATGTATTAGTACCGCGTATTAAATAAGAATAATAATGGAAAGTTTAGAATTTAATTTCGTTAAAGTAAACATGGTGCTTTCCTTATTAACATTCTTTATTAAAATTTGTGTTGCCTTTTATGAATTATACCTAATTCATGAAATTTTCAATAATAATAAAATTACAAAGTTTTATTACCTAATATATTTTAAAATTTTAAAATAGCAGCATGGTGCCATGCTATTAAATATTAAATAAAAATAAAATTAATAAATTTTAAATAAGAATATTAATACTGCGTATTAAATAAGAATAATAATGGAAAGTTTAGAATATAATTTCGTGTATTAATATAGATTGAAGAATGTAAACACGGTTCTATACACGTTTAGCATTTAACACATACCATATCAAAAAATAAAAGCATTTAATACTTACCAATTTTATGAGCATATACCTTATGTAATGGCCATCAGCATTGGGCGGGAAAAGACCAATGGAATTCCATATCTTTTTAAATAATATATAGATTATGAGTTTACGGTGATGCTTTTGGACTAACCAATGCACCGGCAGCTTT